CCTCCATGGCGTCTCGTTGCCAGGCAACCGAGTCGCCCCCGCCTCGCCTTTAGCGGCCACCTCCTCCTAGCAATGGGAACCTGAGCCGCAGACTGCGGCGCCTTAGGACGGTGATCTGGGGGCCCCTTCTTGGGCCCCCTCCAGAGTTTGTCAGTGGAGTTTTATTTTTTTTAATTCATATTTTTGTTTATAGGAGAGAAATATACCCCCTTCCAAAGAATCGGGAGCTCATAAAAGTTTGGAACTTTCTAAAAAGTGAATAATTTCAGGCTTGCCGTCTGGACTTCCTCATCCTGTTTGTGAGAGACCCAAGTGACTTGCTTTCCCTTTACTCCTGGGTCAGAAACCTCTTTGGAGTGTGTGTAATTGGGTGTGCACTTGTGAGTCAGGGAGAAATTGCTGGAGCCCCTCGCACCAGTGGTTGCTGAAGCAGAAGATTCCAGAAAAACCATTCCCTTGCGGGGCACAAGCTAAGCCTGAAGGATTTCCAAAATGACCAAGGTACCAGCCACCAAGAAGATGCAGAGTTCCCCCAATTCCAGAGCCCTTTGGCCCTTTTATGGCTCAGAACATCTAACCCAGGTAAGGCTTCCCTCTCTGCTGAAACCTATCATGTTTTAAAGACCAAATGAAATAAGAATTAGCCTCCAGGCCAAGAAGGGCCAGGGAAAGAAAGAAGAGTCATGGTGTAATTAAATTGTCCAGACACATCCCTGTTGCTATAACTGGGTGGTTTCTCATAAAGAATGAAAACGCCAGCCAGAACGGTGAGCTGGGCCATCCTATTAGCCAGTAATTCCAAAATGATGGAATAAATCGGCAGTGACACTGTAGAACATCAGATAAAAATTAAGATGAATTGTAGGTTTGCCGTCGCAGAAATTATTTTCAGCGATCTGCTGGGCTTCAAGTACGTGCACATTCTCTCTCTTACTGAGAGACTGCACTGTCAAACTTTTGGTTTTGAAGGCTGACTTTGCTACTCACTAGCTATTGACATTAGACAAGTTGCTTAGCATCCCTAAGCCTTTATTTCCTCATGTCCATGAAGTGAGAACAGGAATATCAGCTAGGCAGAAACAGTGTGAAGACTGAGTGAAGTAAGATATGGGAATTGTTTAGCAGGATCTGAACACTTGATGATGTGTATATGTGACATGATGATGTGTATATGTGACATGAAATACCATTGTTGATCTGAAGGCACAGAAAAATCTTTGGTCTGTATGTAATGAGTGGAGTCAAGCATTTTTGTTTTAACTAATCATAACTGGGTAGGCTGGGTATGTCTTTGTTAAGTGTTATCCACACATAAACTGAACTTTGTTCAGGTTATCCACAGATCTCTGTAGCACCACTGATCAGCCAAGTCAGGTGAACGGTGGGAGAGAGGGTCAAAGGCGGTACCTGCCCACGGTGATCCACCCACAGTGGCACATCTTATGGCTCAGAGTCGTGCCCCAGGAAGGAAGGTCCCAGGGAAGTCAGTACACAAGAGCGAGCTTAAAACTCACCCATGCTTACAGGGTGGTCCAAAGGGTTCCTGAGCTTCTATTTTCTAAGGATTAGCACAACTTTATGGCCCCTCTCATTGCTCAGCCCTGTTAGTGAGCTCACTGTGCAAGATGCAATCTTCACATGCCTCATTTCATTTCAAAATACTGCCCAGAAATGGGTTCCATACAGAGCAGCCCCCTCTGGGACTGAGCTCCCTGCATAGCGCTGGGGGAAGAGAGGGAAGAAAAGAATGAGGACTGAGATGGATGTTTCAGAAGCAGAGGTGAGTGTGAGAGCATGAGCAGCAGGCCCACATAGCCTGGATTGGAACCCTGGATCTGTGCCCCTGAGCAGCCGCATGACCTCAGGCAAGTTGCAGCACATCTCTGCTTTGGTGCTACCATCCGTAAAATGGGGATATCACGGTGCTGACTCCTGGGATCGCTGTGAGCATTAAATGATATGCCCAGAGCTCCTAGAACCATTCCTAACACACAGCAGTTCCTCGATTTTTGTTCTATTGTTATTTCTTCATTTAGCAAACATTTGTTGAACTTGCTATGGGCTAACCATTTGCTCTTGTAATAAATGAGACTGGCCTTTAAATATTTTACAGTCTGTAGTGTGTATGTTTGGGATGGGGAGTGAAAGAGATAAACAGATAATTGTAATGTACGGTGATCAATGATGTCCTGGAAAAGTATTGTTTGGTGTCATGGGAATGCAGAGGATAGCTAACTCAGAGCTCTGTGTGTGTGTGTCAGATTTTGGGGGAGGGGGGTTGGCGGACTCAGGGAGCTAAGAGAAGGGAATAAAGCTTCCAGAGAACTATTGGATAAACTGAAGCCTCCCTGAAGTTGTGCTGCCCTCAGCCTACCTTCTCAGAAGTAATGAAGACCCAAGGAGGTCCCTGGCCCACATGTAATAACCCTCAGAAACTTCAGCCTTTTTGAGCTACCATTCAGCATTGATTAACCTAAACCAGGCTTAATTAGAAAGCAACAAGCCGCATGAAAATATGTACAGATTTTAAGATCAACTTCTGGTATAAATCAAACCAATACTATTTTCAGTGGTGATAATAGCAATGATGATAGCTGAGCATTCACCATTCCAGGTTCTGAGCTAGACATTTCAGAACCATCTACAATACTTCAAGATAGGAGTGGCAACAGATGGCAACACCAAGGCCCAGCGAGGACAGGTCCCTTATTCAGGGACACTGGGCAGCAAGGAACAGATTGGAATTCCAATCTGTCTGGCTCCAGAGTTCCAGCTCACCCTGCCTCATGCTGATCAGGCAGTGACAGAAGTTAGCATGTCCCTGGGGGGACACAAAAAGGGTGTAAGTCACAATCACTGGTTTCATATAGTTTTCAGGTTTGCTTGGAGGAAAGGGGACAAACATAAAAGAGAATAATAAATGTCAGACAGTCAGGTAGGTGTCCAATGGGAAGTGATCCACGGGAGGTTGTGGCTTCTCAGAGGAAGAAGGTGAGGCCACACTGGGCTGCATGGCAATACCACTTCCTGTGAGTCCACCACGCACTAGCGCAGTGGGCGACACCTGCGGGAAAGGGTCCTGAAGCCCTCGGCCGCTGACCACTTTCCTCCTCACAGAGATGGAAGCAGTTACATCATAACTACTATTACAGTGGCACCCTGCCTTGCATAGCATTTTCATGTCTCCTTTTTTAGCATGAATAAGATATGCAGACCCTCTGCGTGGATGCCTTCTGCTGAGGGAGCCTTTCGCTCACCCTTATGCTGGGCTCCCTGATCTTATAGGGAGTTCCTTTTCCCTTTGCTTCCCAAGGTAGCAAAAGAGAAGTCTAATGGGATTAGCTGTGTGAGAGGGAGGGAGCAGGGCATGGGTAGTTACCATGGACTCCCATTTCCTTCCTTGGAAAAGGCTGAAAAAAGAGGGGGCACATAGCATACCCCCCTCCATGTTCTAGAATGGAAATGCAGAAATGGCATTTCGCAAAAACAAGAAGGTTGTGCATTTTCTTATACAAGCTCCATCTCTTGGTGCCTGAAATTTCCACCTTGTTGTCATGAAAAACCCGTAGAGAAAAGAAGCTTTCTTAAGTGGGCAGATCCTAAGACAGCCAAGCATCATGCTGGGCACTCTGCTCATATCCCAGCATAATGATTAAAAGAGCAGATTCTTCAGCAGACTACGTGGGTTCACAGCCCAACTCTGCTACTTACCAGGTTGTGTGGCTTTAAGCAACTGTTCTTCTCTGCACCTCAGTTTCCTCATCTGTGAAATGGACACATCAGTTTTTTATCTAACCTAAGAGGTCTTCCATTTCAAGATGCATCATGAATTTCTTGAGCCACTAAGAAAAACTCTACTGATTAAATTATAACCTGATTTCAATTATAAGATGTGCCCCTATTAAAGAGATGTTAAAATATGGAAAGAAAATATGTATGCTGGAATAGATGAAATAGATGAATAAAAATGATCCTCTCTCAGAGAGGCATTGTGGAGGTTAAGAGTAGTTAATATGGATAAAGCTCTTAGAACAGAGCCTGGCACAGAGTAAATACTATGAAATGTTAGCCATTATGACTTTGGTGCTTAATCTTTTTATCAGCTCCATGGTAGAAGTGTTGGTATTAACCCCCTTTTGCACCTGGGTAGACTGAGGCTGGAAGAGCCCCAGGGTCTAGTTCTCTGCTAAGAGGGGAGTTGGCAAGTTCGGGAAGAAGGGGGCAAATTAGGCAGGATCCCAGGTATGGAGAACTTTGGTGTGAGCATCTCTTCCCCCGACTGCTGGGGTGAGTTTGGAGGTGTGCAGAGTCTCAAAAGTCCAGCCCACTGCACACCCAGTAGGGCTGCCTGGAATCAGGAAAGGAGCCCCAACATTGTTTAGAAAGATTTCTCCCAACAAGCTGACCTCCAGCATAAGACGCTCCCACTGCAAACACGAAATGATTTTCCTCCTGGCCACAAGAGAAATGGCAGCCTGAAGAGGTAAGTGGTGAGTCATTGGTCTTTGTTGCCAGAGGGCTGAGTGCTGGGTGATTTCTCCAGCCTCTCATCACACAGACCACGCCCCCTGCACTGAATCACTGATTACCCTGAAAAAGGTAAAATAAAAGCTCTAATGACCCCTTGAGATACAATTCTGAAGAATCCCAGACAGCTGCACCTTCATTTTTTTTTTTTTTATCACTCATGACTTAGGCCAGGAAAATAGCAGTGAGTCCTTTTCCCTCCAAGGGATTATTCTGACTCCATTGTTCCTGCAAGAGACAATTGCAGAATTCAAATTGTTTTTTGTTTTGTTTTGTTTCTTCCTGCCCTGACGCTTTGGACTGGTAATGCTTGTCTTGGTGAGTCTTGCAGGGTCTAATTGCAGACCTGGGTGACAGGCGGCTCCCCTCCATGATAAATCAGGATCAGAGAAGGCGCGTGTTCATTTCCTCCTGACACGGGAAGAGCGACAGGCACTTTCTTAATGCTGGACTAAATGAAGCGAGCTCTTTGTCTCATCTGCGAAGACGCAGCTGCTCAGCATGGGGAGGTGAGGCTGAGCAGGGCGGCAGAAGAAACATCAAAGAGGCGTGTGAATGGGATACAAGCTTAGTGACTAGGCAGAAGCTAAAGCTAGACAAAGGTGGGCTCAGATCTCTTTGACCCTCTCTGATATGAGGTTCTGTGAAATGGGTTGAATAGTAACAGGGTCTACTGTGCAGATGTTTCCGGAGGATTACATCGAATAATGCGTGTGAAATATCCAGCACAATTCTTGGTACATAGTTGACCCCTAATAACTGAGGGTGGTGGTTATTATCACTTGTGCTCCTGTCCCTTTGACTGGACGTGTGAGCCACCACCACCATTTGGAAGGTGTCATCAGCCGAGATATAAGGTCTGGAGGAAGCTCAGTATTAACTGTACAGACGGAGCGGGGTCCACCATTAGCGAGGCCAAGTCCCAGCTTCAGGGTAGAAGGGAAGAAGCAGGTGGAGGGACATTTTTTAGAACTGGTGTGAGAGTATATTTACATGAAGGACCAGGTGGGAAGTCCATCCTGATGGCAGAAATGCTTGACCCAGCTAAAAACCTT